GCAATGATGGATGATGAGTTGCAATTCAACTCTTGCCTTTTTTTTTGTAAATCATCAATACTTTATTAATAGTATATACTTTATTAATAATCTATACTTTATTAATAAATCGTCTATACTTTTTAATAATTCGTAAGTGTAATATTTTTAGTTTTCACATCATTAAAATCTCGTTTAGGGATTAATTTATCAAAGGGCAAAGTGTGCAGCGGAAAATGTTGACGCTTTGCTTTTTGTTGTATTAAATTTTGGCGTTTTGACCAGGCCACCAGAGGCTGCTCGCCCGGACGTGAAAATAAATCCATCTGAAAAAAATTAAAAAACAAATCCAGCATCTTCATCCAAAAAATATATATATAAATACTAAACAACCATGAATAGAAGACAGACAGGTAGGAAGAGAGACAGGTAGGAAGAGAGACAGGTAGGAAGAGAGACAGGTAGGAAGAGAGACAGGTAGGGAGACAGACAGGTAGGGAGACAGACAGGTAGGGAGACAGATAGGTAGGGAGACAGACAGACAGACAGACATAGCCGACACGTATATAAAGAAAATGTTTCCCCAGTAACAAGAGAATTAACACACCAAGCACATGTTCTTAAAATAACCAACCACTCACTCACTCACTCACTCAACCAGCCCTTTCAGACAACCACCTAACCACGCAATCAAGCAGCGAACCACGAGCGGTAGAGGGAGTGATGAAATGGGCCGCCCATTGACGAGCCTGGCACCCTATTGGCTAATGGTGCGGTGATTCGCGACAGTTGTTCCACTCACAGGTAATAATGGATGGCCTTTATCGACGCCTGTCTCTCTCAACTCCAAATTTGGCATCTTGCTGTGGTTCCATGCATGTATAATAAAGAGAGAGAGAGAGAGAGAGAGAGAGAGAGAGAGAGAGAGAGAGGGAGGGAGAGAGGGAGAGAGAGAGAGAGAGAGAGAGAGAGAGAGAGAGAGAGAGAGAGAGAGAGCGAGAGAGAGAGCGCGAGAGAGAGAGAGAGAGAGAGAGAGAGAGAGGGAGGAGGAGAGAGAGAGAGAGAGAGAGAGAGAGAGACCCTCTACACCACACCATACAACTTATAAAAACTCGAAGTCACAACTATTTCCTCGGTCATCAGAGCATTAGAAGAACGACTAATTCTGACATAAAAGTCTACGTGTTATGCAACCCACATTTGACTAACAACGCGATGCTCCTAATGTTTGGTCCGAATGAGCAACTCGACCAAAGAAGAAACTCGACTGAATGACCAACGTGGCCGAATTAGCTACTCGGCCTAACGAGCAACTCGACTGAGAAGCAACACAACTAAAGAAAATTGTAAATTGCAAAAGTATAAGGGAAAACTGCGCTTCGCAGCATACATTAAAACGCGAGGTAATGAGATCTTGCACCACAGATCTCCAGTCATTACAAATATAAAAGACCATCGGATCATCGCTTCAAAAAGGATTCGCATCTCATCACCGTCGCCCTTTAGGAGAGATATTTTATAATTGCAGAGGATCTGAGCCTTTTAGCGCGAAGCAACGGGCGTAGGGCGGAGAAAACCGCAATATTGTGACAGTCTTTAAAAATGTAGAGGGTAAATTTACATTTGGGGAGAGAGAGAGAGAGAGAGAGAGAGAGAGAGAGAGAGAGAGAGAGAGAGAGAGAGAGAGAGAGAGAGAGAGAGAGAGAGAGAGAGAGAGAGAGAGAGAGAGAGAGAGAGAGAGAGAGAGAGAGGAGAGAGAGAGAGAGAGAGAGAGAGAGAGAGAGAGAGAGAGTTTGCCTTCGTCCTTCAACCCTTTGAAGACGATGGTGGAGGATTTTGTTGACAAAGTGTTAACTCTAGAGACAAAAACGCACAATTCTTTTTTCTAAGCTAACTTTTCCTTCCCGAATTAGACAGGTTGGGAGATAAGGGTAAAAAAGAGGGAGGTCTAATTTATCGAAGATAGTGGCCGTAGACCAACTAGCTGCTGTGCTCTCCAACTTCCATACTCACCTTGTTATAGTCACCTAGTTGTGCTTGTGGGGTTGAGCTCTGGCTCTTTGGTCCCGCCTCTCAACTGTCAATCAACAGGTGTACAGGTTCCTGAGCCTACTGGGCTCTATCATATCTACATTTGAAACTGTGTATGGAGTCAGCCTCCACCACATCACTGCCTAATGCATTTCATCTGTTAACTACTCTGACACTGAAAAAGTTCTTTCTAACGTTCCTGTGGCTCATTTGGGTACTCAGTTTCCACCTGTGTCCCCTTGTTCGCGTACCACCCGTGTTAAACAGTTTATCCTTATCTACCCTGTCAATTCCTCTGAGAATTTTGTAGGTAGTGATCATGTCTCCCCTTACTCTTCTGTCTTCCAGTGTCGTGAGGTGCATTTCACGCAGCCTTTCCTCGTAACTCATGCCTCTTAGTTCTGGTACTAGCCTAGTGGCATACCTCTGAACTTTTTCCAGCTTCGTCTTGTGCTTGACAAGGTACGGGCTCCATGCTGGGGCCGCATACTCCAGGATTGGTCTTACATATGTGGTATACAAGGTTCTGGATGATTCCTTTGTTGCTGTTCTGTACAGACCTGGTGTCCGGTGCAAGCAATAAGGAGGACCTGTGATGGTACAATGATCACGGGCAAGTACTGCGGTTCGGGCAGGTAAGAGGTCCAGCGTTGCGTCGCTCTGGTATGATGTAGCCACACCTCACAGGACTCGAGGTGTCAAGAAGCGGTGAGGGTCCTGCTCTTCAGGTATGGTCCCGCGTTCCTGTCACCGAAGGTTCGGCTCACCGTTACTGTGTGTAGCTATTGTTGAGACAAGCGGTATACGCTCTGCCGTCTTCTCTCCTATTGCATAGCTGTCTTGTGGCACGCACACACACACACACACACACACAAACACACACACACACACACACACACACACACACACACACACACACACACAACACACACACACACACACACACACCTGAGGCAGGACCAAAGAGCCAAAGCTCATGATTCCCTCCCCCCCCGTAAGCACAACTACATGAGTACACACATATTACTCGTCATGTATTTACTCCAATGTAATAGAAATGAGTAATTCCAGTAATAGTAATTACACTAAAAATCGTGGCCCAGGAGCTGAATCTCGTCGCACAGGCACACATACAGCTGAGTGCACAACCCTCACTGATCACCCATGATATTGTTATCATTTATGGAGTAAAATCCTCTAATTATTACCGTATACAGTAGATTAATTTAATTATACAGATTTAACAAGTTTTAAAGCCCACGATTTTTTCTGTTTTAATGCGTTCATATATGAGCAGCAGTTAATTACAGTAATATTTCGTACCTTGGCCTGCTATATTGCCTATATTATAATGAGAAACAAATCGACTGAATCTATATCAGACAAAAGAATATGTGCGGAATATATATACGAGAGCTATTAATAATAATAATAATAATAATAATAATAATAATAATAATAATTATTATTATTAAAATATTATTACACATGGAAATCATAATAGCATGATATATCAATGGGGAAATCACCGGATCAGAGCACGGATTGAAATAACTTCTTGGCGAGTGGCAGACACACGCGTTAAACCCCCTGAGCCACGACGTGCATGTTATGGCTCAAGAGTCAGGCACGTGACTGTCAATCACCAAGACGCTGGTTCAATCCCCGCTCTCCTCCAGCGATTTTTCTCATTATAACTAGAATTATTATGTTTATTATGATATAATTCAATCATTACCAACCGCACGTAATCTACCAATATCATTAATTAAATCTAATAATTCCATACTGACTATAAATCTTGCTTAGGTTCATTTAACCAGGCCAAACAGCTGGCTGGATCACTCACCCAAGTTTCAGTTCAAATTATGCTGTCTGAAGGGCGACATGCATGCGTCCTTAAATGGTGTGTCTTGCTTGCAAGCAAGCGTTAGGATCTTGTACGTCGTTATCATGTCCTCTCTATTCCTTGTCTTCCTCCAGTGACGTGAGGCAAGCAAGGTTGAAAGCGACAGATGCCATATTGTTTAAAGTTTTAGACATAATTTAATTATAAACCAACCAATCAGGATCGCACCTGGTTAAAATGGGCCAATCATAATTGGTGTGATCTCAGGATGAATGACATCATGACATCAGACGTCTGATGTCATGAATGACATCATGATATCAAACGTCTGTTGTCATGAATGACATCATGACATCATGACATCAGACACAGACATCAGCGTCAGTAGACCTGACCTTGGCAGACAAGACATGACGATACAAGGTCTCGTTATCCTGCTTTTCGGTGTATAATACACGGAGCGCTTAATTTAGTCCTGGACAATATTCAGGACTAAAGTATACTTGTTGATTGGTCAGCAAGTGGTGACATTAATAACCATCCAAAGTGCAAGCAAGTAGCCCTGTAAAGGCCCTTTAAAAAAAACATCATAATTCCTGAAAAATTAAAATATTTCAGGTTCAGTAGCGAAGATAATACAATAGGCCGTGTAGCGAGCAGATGTCTCCTCAGTATATCAGATCAGAGGATAAGGTAGGTCTTACTCCTACCAGACAGGTGTCAGGTGTGAGCGTGGTTGGTGTAGTAACCGCCCAGAGAATTATATTACATTATAATATTATAATTATATAATAATTATAATAACATGCGTTAAGAAGCAGCATGAATCAGATTTTGTTGTTGTTGACCAGACCACACACTAGAAGGTGAAGGGACGACGACATTTCGGTCCGTCCTGGACCATTCTCAAGTCGATTGTGAGAGTGGTCCAGGACGGACCGAAACGTCGTCGTCCCTTCACTTTCTAGTGTGTGTGGTCTGATCAACATTCTTCAGCCACGTTATTGTGACTCCTCGCCTGCACATGAATCACATATCAAGAGGTCTACACAAAACAGTCAGGTGTGTGTACCTCTCAGTAGACCTATACTAAAGCAGTATAACCAGAGACAATTTAAGAAAACAGGGTGTCAATACTCACCAGTTTCCTTTCGCCAGGCGATGGTGGGGTTGGGAAAGCCTTTGGCCAGGCAGTGGAGGGCGACGGTGCCTCCCAAAGCCACACTGGCACTGGCTGGCTCCACCACCCAAGCAGGGGGCACTGTAGGGTTGTAACAACAAGAGGGTCACCATCCACGCAAGAGTAGTATAAAGTTCATGCACCCATAACTAACTCTCAATGACCCTGTAATACTTCCTAACAGTATTTTCAAAATCAAAAAAATTAGTTTTTGAACATGGCTGTATATTCAAAACATTAAGGAACACACACACACACTGTAGTTCACAGATTTGAAAATGATAATTATTCTAATTCTAATCCTTCGTAATGCAACGTTCAATATCACTTCAACATGTATGATTATTACGTTAATGTTATAACGAAGGGGAAACTAAGCTGGTCACAGGAAAAAGCTTCGAGAACTGATATAATTATCTTGGCAAGGAATAAGATCATGTGTTCATATTGGTAAGTTGCTTTTGTTTACAAGTCAGATGTTTGGTCCAGGCAGTGGGCGCCCCGGCGCGGGCGTGTGTGTGTGTGGGCGGCGCGGGCGTGTGTGGGCGTCCCGCTGGTGTGTGGGTGCAGGAGTGATGTGTTCAAAGGGAAAGTTGCAGGGAAGACGTCGTCACACAGACCCACACTGTCTTCATCTCTGTGTCCGTCTGTCTGTCTGCCTGTCTCCGCCCTCACCTACGTAGGTGGTGTCACCCATGGATGAGAAATGGTCCACTAATGCACCCAATAGCTTCTCACCAGTGTGGCTTAGTGGGACTGGTGATGGGGCAACAAGCCAGGTGGTGGGACTGGTGAAGGGACAACAAGCCAGGTGGTATGGTTAGTATGGGGGGAGGAGGAGGAGGCAAGCTGGATGGTGCGGCTTTGGCTGGCAGTGAAAGTGAATTATGGTGTCAGCTTCACACGTGTGTGTCAGTGGCTGGGGAAATGACCTCTGCAGCAAATTGGGTAATAAGGGAGGACCTCATCTCGTGTTCTGAACCTGACTAAGTCTGTGTTCTCCACCTCTCTCTCTCTCTCTCTCTCTCTCTCTCTCTCTCTCTCTCTCTCTCTCTCTCTCTCTCTCTCTCTCTCTCTCTCTCTCTCTCTCTCTCTCTCTCTCTCTCTCTCTCTCTCTCTCTCTCTCTCTCTCTCTCTCTCTCTCTCCCCCCACAGAGGCGGGGCACAGCTATGGGCGGGGCAGAGACAGCCTCGCCACCCAACAACTCATGTCATCTTAAACTGGCTCTAAATATACACTAAAAAAAGGTCCATGCAACAAGTCATTTGAAGATAATAGTTGGCGAGAGTTGGGGGGCGTGAGGCGTCTTGTGTCGTTAGGAGCCGTCTCGGCCTAGTACACGCGTCCAAACTTACCTGTTGTCAGGTCAAACTATATATTATATATATAGTCTACCCCCCCCCCCTAAGTGTGTGAGTGGTGGGCGTGGGTAGGCCTACCGCTGACGGTGAGGCGTGAGGTAGTGGTGGTGGTGCGGGCGGCGTTGGTGGCAGCGCAGGAATAGTTGCCGGTGTGGGCGGCGTTGGCGCGGTCGATCACCAGGATGGAGGTGAAGGCGTCGAGCTGGGAGGTCCGGACGTCGAGGCGAGGGTCGAGGGGCCGGCCGTCCTTCGCCCAGGCGAGGGTCAGCGGCTGGTCGCCCTCCTGCACCAGACAGGTGGCCTGCGCGCGCATCCCCGCGCGCGTCCCCTCCGGGAAGGCCAGGCGGGCCAGGCGGGGCGGCACTGCAACACACACACACTCACACACACACCACACGCGGGCAGGAGAAAAACACGAAATAATTTGTCATATGCAATGTTGGTACACGAGCCTGTGAGAGGGGGGGGGGAGGTCACGGCGGCCGCCCCCGCCCCCCCCACTAAGAGGGGGAAACAAGGCAATTGGCGTGGTTGGAAAAGGGGGAATAAAGAGCGGGGGAATAAAGAAAAGGCGGGAAAAAACAGTCGCGGTAAGTGACCCCGTCGATAAGTTCTCCGACAACACAAACACGTCAATAAATTTGTTCTTGAAAAAAGTGGAGAGAAGAAGCGTAAGTTTATTTTTTTTTGATTTATGTGAGTTTTGGTGTTGATGGTGCAGCTCCTGTGGGCGTGGGCGTACCATTGACGGCGAGGGCGGCTGAGAGGGTGGCCTGAGCCCACTGGTTGGAGGCGCGACAGGTGTACTCGCCGGTGTGGAGAGCGGTGAGGCTGCTGATCATCAGGGCGCTGGAGTAGTCGTTCATGCTGGAGACCGAGACGCCCTCCACCTCCTGCAGGGGGCGGCCGTCCTTCTCCCAGGTGAAGGTGATGGGCGGGTCACCCTTGTTCACCAGGCAGGTCACTCCCGCTCGGTCGCCCGCCTGTAACTTCTCTTCGAAGTGGAATGGTTGGAGTACCGGCGCCACTGTAACATACCTCTCTCTCTGTAAGGCTGCCGACCTCCTCCTCCAGTCTCTCTTGCTCCTCTATATCACTACCTGCTGCTGCTCTATGCCTCTATACTTCCTGCTGCTGCTCTATGCCTCTATACTTCCTGCTGCTGCTCTATGCCTCTATACTTCCTGCTGCTGCTCTATGCCTCTATACTTCCTGCTGCTGTTCTATGGCTCTATACTTCCTGCTGCTGCTGCTCTATGCCTCTATACTTCCTGCTGCTGCTCTATGCCTCTATACTTCCAGCTGCTGCTCTATGCCTCTATACTTCCTGCTGCTGCTCTATGCCTCTATACTTCCTGCTGCTGCTGCTCTATGCCTCTATACTTCCTGCTGCTGCTCTATGCCTCTATACTTCCTGCTGCTGCTCTATGCCTCTATACTTCCTGCTGCTGCTCTATGCCTCTATACTTCCTGCTGCTGCTCTATGCCTCTATACTTCCTGCTGCTGCTCTATGCCTCTATACTTCCTGCTGCTGCTCTATGCCTCTATACTTCCTGCTGCTGCTCTATGCCTCTATACGTGCTACTGTACACCTGTCCACCTGCTTCTCCATGCTTGTCTACATAATAAAAATGCCAATGAGGTGTACCTGTCTATCTAATGTTGATACTTCTCATGTGAACCTCTGTTCCCGATACTTCTCATGTGTACCTCTCTTCCTCATACTTCTCCTCATGTATACCTCTCTTCCTCATACTTCTCCTCATGTCGTTAGTGCTGGTGCTACATTAATGAGTCTCCCAACTGAAGAACTATGAGCCTACCTAACCCTAATGAGGTGTGCTTGTCTACCTCACTAAGTTATATCATTATATTCAGGCACCCTTTTGTTGATATTTGTTGACATTCATCAGCTGATCTGCGCCGGCACTCATCAGCTGATCTGTGTTGATACTCATCAGCTGATTTGTGATAACATCAGCTAATCTATGTTGACAACAATGAACTAAATGTGACTTACTAACTGCCAGTTAATCTGTTTTGACAAATGATCACGTAATCTGGGTGGTGTTCGTGGATTAACATTAATTCAATTATATATCGACAGTTTGATCGTTAGAGATTTGCTGTGTCGCGTATTTGTCTTAATGAGATTTAGCTAGCCAGGACACCGACAATTTATATACTGTATATGAAAATCAACAAATACATTACATCAAAAATTCTGGAAAAAAAACTACAATAGTTAGTTTGGAAAGGCTGAAGCTGTATAAATAGTTTGTGTTTTATCTTTTCGAAATATATATATATATATATATATATATATATATATATATATATATTTTTCATTGAATATAACCGCATATTCTGTATTTATTATTTTCTGGTTTAGGGCTTCTATCCCTCTAACTATTTTCTTAGCATCAGGGCTTAATTAATTCTGCAGCCCCTATGTTTATCCCTTATGTATCCCCCCATGTTTTCACCTTCATTGTATTATCACCTGACCTAATGCGGGTATAAAATCAACTAGTATTGTAAGATCTGTTCACTTGAGAATGAACCATGGAGGTTCGAAACGTCGTGCAAAATATACAAATAAGTGTAATACACTCCATAGTAAATCACTTCTTTTCTTCACCTTAAAAGTACGAAAATGAGTTTTGGAGAACTCCTATTTCAATTAAGCCCTGATGCTAAGAAAATAGTTAGAGGGATAGAAGCCCTAAACCAGAAAATAATAAATACAGAATATGCGGTCATATTCAATGAAACATGTTTGAAAGAAACCTGCTGCCAGTATACACCAATATATATATATATATATATATATATATATATATATATATATATATATATATATATATATATATATATATATATATATATATATATATAATCTGTCCTTTTTTAAGCAGTCTTCAGAGGCAGTCTTTGCTCTATATATGTGCTATTGAAACTTGAATATTATCAAATAGGTCAGATCAACTCTCCAAAGTTGATTTTAAGCACAAGATCACATTAATTTAACTGACACATTTTACAAAACGTAACTAAGCATTCTTAGAGGCAGAGGGAAATTGAATTAAAAATATAAATTGATATATAGTGTAGGTGAGTGTGTTGAGAGGAGAGGCGGTTGTGCCCTGTCGAGATGACAGGATTAACCTATATTATGGTTAATGTTGCCGTCTATATTGCCACCGTTCCAGTCATTGGTGGACAGGAACGGTGGGGGGAGTCAGTTCATTCTTGGTTGTGGCGACGGAAGAACGTTCCTAGATGGCAACTATAGGGTGTTCGTGATTGGATATGAAATACTTTAGCTATGTTCAATCTCCTGCTGTTGTTTCTGGTCGAGTATTCGGTGTTGGTGGTCAGTATGTTCCCTATGATAGTCTGCATACGTGTAGGAATGATGTTATTTGTATTGGAGTCTCGTTGCCTGTGCGCTGTGTGGCAACTTGAGAGAGAGATGTTGTCGTTCCACCAATATACTGATAGCACTGAAAATGATATTCCCCCCCCCCAAGTGTAAATTTAAAGACAATACAAAACATTTGTCTTACTGAAGGTGTTTCAATAATGCCCGAAACGCTATGCGTACTAGTGGCTTTAGGTATTGTATGTACTATCTCTATCTTTAAATCCAATATTATGTATGTAAGTTGACCAGACCACACACTAGAAGGTGAAGGGACGACGACGTTTCGGTCCGTCCTGGACCTAACCGAACCAGGGTTTCGGCTTTAGTGGAAGCCGAAACCCTTTGTATTTATCTTCCCTCTACCTCTATGGATGCTAAAGTGAACTTAGCAAAAATGCGTCTTCCATACTTCCGTCTTCAGTAACTTCCTTCCATACACCTGGCCTCTCCGTTTTGTGTACAAGAATACACCTTCATGGAACGCTACAAAATTTCAGAGGGTCCCCTAGCAACATTCTTAGGAACACTTACAGACAGTCCCAATCTTTCACATTGACGTTGCTCATTTTTCTCAGGGACATTACCAATCATCTCAAGAAAACCATCAATCTTCCCAAGGACACTTAACACCATTACCACTCTTCTCATAGATATCTGCAATCTTTCCAGGGACATTACTGATCTTCCTAGGGACATCATTAGCGTTCCCAGATGCACTACCACTCTCACTAGGGGCCAGTCTCTTCAGGGGGGGACGCTACCATGTTTCGCGCAGCGCTACAAATGTTCCCCAGGGGACTCTACTGAATTTCAGCAGTCTCCCAGGACCTATTCATGACGCGGACGGTGAGGAGCTGGGTGTCTCCCTCCCCCAGGATGCCCCAGGATGCCCCAGGATGCCCCAGGCTGTCCCAGGATGCCCCAAGACCTACCCATGACGCGGACGGTGAGGAGCTGGGTGTCGGAGAGGCCCTGCCTGGTGGAGGCGGTGCAGGAGTACTGGCCGTCGTCAGTGCCGCGGGTGACCTGCTCCACCACCAGCGTCCCATTGGCGTGTACCCTCTGTCGGTGGGTGGTGGGCAGCCGGACCCCGTCTGTGGGGATAGGAGAGAGAGAGAGACACGTTATGGAGACACTCCCTAGGCTCGCTCCCTAGTCCACCCTTCCTCTGTGTACACAAAATCTGTTATCAACCCTCCGAGATCAGGATCTAGTTTAGTATCACCTGATGCTTACTGGATAAGAACGTTTTCTTCGAGTCCTTGAAACCTAGGAATTTTTTTAATTTGAACTCCAGGATTGGAATTCTCCCAGGATTGGAATTCTTCCAGGATTGGAATTCTTCCAGAACTGGAATTGTTTGCTATCACTATAGCAGCCTTTCTGCACGTGTGGTCTCAATGCTGGACTGTAGTAACCTCGATGACAGAAGCACAAAAGATATACAGCTTAATTCTCCTTATGTAATGTGTGAAATATATTTTTATCCAATACATAATTTGTGCTAATCTCTCACCATGTTAAAAATCCCTTATGAGACCAGTGATATATATATATATATATATATATATATATATATATATATATATATATATATATATATATATATATATATATATATCTCAAATTTCTTTGACACAAAGTAATCCTGTGTTTGCTGACAAACGTATGACATTTATGGTAATAAATAGAGCCATAATCCCTCAGTTACAACACTCTTCAAAGCCAGGATTACTTGGATTATATCACAGGTGTTGCAAGCTCAATGTTTTCAACAATGTGTTCCACAATGGTCACTCAACCAATTCCCTTTCTGCCACCTGATTGTAAATTATCTCTTTCTTAGAGTAAAGACAACATCAAAGATGGAGATTGAGGATTGCTCATTAATCTACCACTAACAGTAGAACAATTCCTTCTAATTGATCACCCACCACTTATGTTAAATGTATTTACTATATTTAACACAGAAGATGTTAGTAATGGAAGAAACGTATTTTTTTAGTGAGGACGTTCCTTTTATACAGAGTTTATACAAGGGGTAGTTAGACGTACATTGTTTAAATAGGGTCTTATACAAGGGGTAGTTAGACGTACCTTGTTTAAATAGGGTCTTATACAAGGGGTAGTTAGACGTACATTGTTTAAATAGGGTCTTGTACACGGGGTAGTTAGACGTACATTGTTTAAATAGGGTCTTGTGCACGGGCAAGTTAGACGTACATTGTTTAAATAGGGTCTTGTGCACGGGATAGTTAGCCGTACCTTGTTTAAATGGGGTCTTGTGCACGAGGTAGTTACACGTACCTTTCTTCCAGGTGATCTTGTGCACGGGGTGGCCGGACACGGGGCACGTGACGAGGAAGGTCTCCCCGGCCACGGCCGACACCTGGCCCATGGGCCGCACGTGCGGCGGGCCGTACACGTTGAGACGGGCCGAGTGCACCACGCGCCCAGCACCGTTTTCCGCCGTGCACGTGTACGTCCCCCCGTCCGTCACGTGCACCGTGCTGATGTTGACGTGGCTGATCACCTCTCCGTGCGCCGACACGTACTGCCCCTTCACGTACCTGCAACACAGTGTGTATTATAGGGGTGCGGAGCACGGCAGGCAGGGGGTGTGGGGCACGGCAGGCAGGGGGTGTGGGGCACGGCAGGCAGGGGGTGTGGGGCACGGCAAGCAGGGGGGGGGTCACCTCCCACCCCCGCCAACAGCCCACCAATCACCTCACACCACCGCCATCAACCCACCAATGAAATCATCAGACAAACGAATGACCCGACTGAGCCATTAACCTAATTACTAAACAGTTATACTGCTACATTATATTTAACAATCATCAGCATTATAATTTGCCATTGGAGCATCTTGTGGGGGTTCATAGGCCTACCAGGGGAAGGGGGGGAGGGGGCAACAAAAATAAAAAAAAATACATGTAAATAACAATTAACAATAATAATAATATAATAATAATAATAATAATAATAATAATAATAATAATAATAATAATAATAATAATAACTTCTGTAAACCTCTGGTGGTATACCACTCTCTGGCTCCCCCTTCAACTCCTTCAACAATAGAACAGTTGTTGTCAATATATTCAACTCCTTCCACTCTCCGTCAGAAAAGCCAAAGAGCGCTCGGTCTCATGAGAATAAATAGCTCGCTTCCTATGCAATTGCATTACTTAAATAATTCAATTACACCGCGGTACTTAGATTAGTTAAATACTTTGAGAGGGGGAACGGCCAGAGCGAGAATCAGGAGAGGAAAGTCAATTAAGGGGAACTGGGTGAGCCAGCGCCATCTGTCTTCCAAATTGTTCACTAATTGTGTTTTTCCCGCCAAACGTTTTTCCCGCCAAAAGCGTGTTTGTCACTCCCGAGTTGGGCGGGGTCGCGACCCTTCCTGATGGCTCACTAATTACCCGCGCTAATGACCCTACCAGCTCATACGTATATACAACCAGCGGGAGATACGTACAGTGCTGCATGGTATATCACCATCACTACTGCTACTTTCACCATCACTCCATCTCTTCTTAGCGTCTTCCCATCCCTTCAGTTCTCTTATCATCGTGACCCCTTTTCCCTCCTTCCCCAGTCTTCATCAGCTCCATCGTCATATACATCACCACAGATGCTGCCTTCACTCACTTCCCATCTTCCTCACTATCCCCTCAGCTGTCAAGCGAGCCTCCCCCGCCCCTCACCATCATTCACCCATTATCATCCCTCCCCCCAAAATGACTCAAGATCCAGCGAACCCACAAGCTCCCCCCCCCAACACCCCCCCCCCCTCCCACATCCCAACTACCCCTCCAATCCCCCCCCACCCCCACTGCCCCCCTCCTCGTGCCTGGCGGGTATTATTACATTGCTGGGGCCGGCAGGGCTTAAGCTCTTGTCCCCTGTTTATCACCGAGTATTCCAATATTCCGCTAATCATCACGTCAGTGTCATTATTCCTCGTACGTATCTGCTAGTTTTTCACCATTCTGAGTGTTTATATTATTCGTACATACGGATAACTCTCCAGAAAGTCTCATACTCCCTCAAGGATTCGAACCCAGGCAGGCAGGGGGAGCAACCGAGTATTATATCCGCGCAGGTATTAACGTATTTTTTTTTTTTTTTTTTTTTGTTCTGGGTTGTCTTTGTCACGTTAGTGATGTCGTTATCAGTCGTTATCAGCTCTCTCTCTCAGCTCCGTGGTTCATCTCTTCGTTAATTTTTTTTCGTTTTCTTTGTCGTTCTGAGCGGTTAGCCTGCGTCCTTGGGCCAGATTCACGAAGCAGTTACGCAAGTACTTAGAAACCTGTACATCTTTTCTCAATCTTTGGTGACTTTGTTTACAATTATTAAACAGTTAATGAGCTCCGAAGCACCAGGAGGCTGTTTATAACAATAACAACAGTTGATTGGCAAGTTTTCATGCTTGTAAACTGTTTAATAAATGTAACCAAAGGCGTCAAAGATTGAGGAAACATGTATAGGTTCGTAAGTACTTGCGTAACTGCTTCGTGAATCTGGCCCCTTGACCGCAAGCGTCCTTTAACCAAAAATTTACTGCGGGGAATAATTCTTATTTAGCTAACACAAATCGACACTTCCCCCCCCCCCTCACCCCCACCATATCCTACAACCCACTACTTCCCACTCTCCTCCCCCCCCATTCTTCCCCTACCCCCCGCCCCCCCCCTTCCCCCCCACACCCCACCCCAACAAGACCACAAAAAAGCGGGAAAATATGAGCCTGAGGGCTGTATAATACGACAATATAACCGGGTCGCAATATCCAGAGGCCAAACAGGCGAGTTCGAAGATATAGAGATCATTAGCAGCGTAAGTAGGACGGACCAATCACAACTCAGGAAGGTCGGTGACGCAAATGGTGTTGGGTCTCGCCCGGCCTGCTGACTGATGTTCGATAATAACAGTTCGGCTCCGAGTTTTAGCCAGGGGAGGGGGTAGAGAGATTTTTTTTTCATGGGGAAGTAATACGTGTATTTTGCGAGATTTTCGGCGTGAAAAATGTGTTTCACGTGAATTTCGGCGTGAAAAATGTCTGAAATATTTTGTTAACCCAGCCAGTAAATAGAATTTATATTTATTTTGACGCCTAAAATATGTTGTCTAATGTGGGGGGTTAACAGTAATCGTATATGTGTTTAGCAAGAGCTTTTGTGCAGAAAACTGATTTTTGTTGCTGTGGTACGATAATTGACCTTACCGTACGAGCAGCGAGATTAACGAGGCTGGGGTCAATACAGTGCTTTATCAACGGATATATGTAACTCCTTAGACGTTGTAACAGGCGCATGTTACATATATATAACAGATGTTTAGTGTAAGTTTATGCTATTGCGGGTGTGTATTTTAGCCGTGTAATGCAAGTACTTATTGCATAAAAGTACACTCAAAATATGAACTGTAGATGTTTATTGCACACGAGCATTTCAGGTGTGTATGGTAGTTAAGAGGCGTCAATCAATCAACTGTTACTATTATTTTTTCACACACACACACACACACACACACACACACACACACACACACACACACACACACACACACACACACACACACACAACACACACACACACTCTCTCCCCGGCTGAGAACTATGAGCTACGAGGAGAGATTACGGGAATTAAACCTCACGTAGCTGCAAGACAGAAGAGTTAGGGGGACATGATCACCATGTACAAGATTCCCAGAGGAATTGATAGGGTAGATAAAGACAAGCTCTTGAACACAAGGGGGCACACGCACAAGGGGACACAAGTGGAAATTGAGTGCCCAAACGAGCCATAAAGATATTAGAAAGAACTTTTTTAGTGTCAGAGTGGTCGACAAATGGAATGCATTAGGAAGTGATGTGGTGGAGGCTGACTCTATACACAGTTTCAAGTGTAGATATGATAGAGCCCAGTAGGCTCAGGAACCTGTATACAAGTTGATTGACAGTTGAGAGGCGGGACCAAAGAGCTAGAGCTCAATCCCCGCAAGCACAAACAGGTGAGTACAAATAGGTGAGTACACACACAACACACACACACACACACACACACACACACAACACACACACACACCACCCACTAGGAAGCAGCCCATAGCAGCTGTCTAACTCCCAGATACCTATTTACTGCTAGGTAACAGGTGCATCAGGGTGAAGGAAACTCTGAACATTTGTTTTTCTGCCGGCTGCCGGGATCGAACCCCGATCCCTAGGTCCACGAGTCTAGAGCGCTGTCCACTCAGCCAGCCAGCCCCCTGGCTGTGTGCGTGCGTGCATGTACATGCTCATGCATTTACGAACATTTGTGAATCTTTCTTTTCACCTCAACTCACAATAATAAACATAACTTGCATCTATGAATTAAAAACAAGTTGAATAACATGACCCCAATATCGTTCTTAAAATATAATTATCGAACAATTATATAATTTTACAATATTTCCAGCAATGTCGCTAATTTTTATTATTACCCAACAAAATACGACAAAGGTAAAAAAAAAAGGTAATGAAATGTGGCAGTCAATCACCCGAGACTTTATTGTTGATGACGTGGAAACCAATGATGAAAATCCTTCAAGAAAATATATATATATACGAGTCACTCATCACATGTGGATGTGATGCCCCGCCGCCTCTGGAATGGTTCTCACTCTAATCAACAGATGGCGCTCACATTAAGACTTTGTTATTAGTAAATATTTAGTATACAGGCTAACCCAGCTATATGAAACTATACACACTACAGTATGAGACTATATACACACTAGATCCATGAAATATATATATATATATATATATATATATATATATATATATATATATATATATATATATATATATACACTACACCCAGAGGCAATATACACCTTACACAAGAGACACTACACGCGAGTATAATGAAATATAATTAACATGATGTTCAGTATCATATAGTGCTGTTTGTCTTGCTTCCTTTGATGATTGGTTTTTGTTGCCCTGTGACTGTATTGTTGATCCTCTGGTGGTGGTAGTGGTGTGAGTGTGTGGTGACCACACCTGTCTCCTGGTGGTGGGGGTGTGGCCACACCTGTGGCCTGGTAGTGGTGCGGATGGTGACCACACCTGTCATGTACACCGGTGAAGATTGTGAATGGTTCTGGTTGACTCTGCCACACAGACTATGCTTCCCTGTCACCCTCTGTCTCCCTCTGTTTCTCTCGATTCTTGTATTTATATCTCACGGACTCTGTTTAACTCTCTCTCTCTCTCTCTCTCTCTCTCTCTCTCTCTCTCTCTCTCTCTCTCTCTCTCTCTCTCTCTCTCTCTCTCTCTCTCTCTCTCTCTGCGTCCTGAATGTCAAGAGGCGACTCTCACTCTGGTGGTCTCCACTTCACACCCAGAGTGATAGTTAATACTGCCAATCAATCTCTCTCATTCTCTCGTTCCCTCTATTTCTCCTACACTCCCTTTCATACACTCATTCCCCCTCTTTCTATCCTTGCTCTCCCCTATCCTATTCGTCTCTTTGTATTCCTTTCAATTCACAAGCCATCAAGTAAATTCCCTAACTGAATGGGAACTTTAGTTATATGAGTGAATTGAAACTTCTTTTAAATTTAACCTACTCGTTCTTAATTCCATATCAAGTTTTAACAACTTTTTAACCCGTTATCTTTTCTTAGCATACACAAATGTACATCTGGTGAAATTTTGAAAGATATTAATGTATACATAAAAATTTCAAAATTATGCATTTTAAGGAATTTTTTTCTCTATTTCATATACAATTTCTCTAAGTGCTTCGGCCTACAAAAGGTTCAGTTGGAGGAAGGTCACTTCGAAAGGTCATCCCTGAGGTTACGTGCTATGCATATCAATTTAAAAAAAAATAGTCAAAATGGACAGAAACCTGAGAGTAGTAGATCGAAGCTACCAAGCATATTAAAAAAAAACATGGGTAGGCCTAGAATAGCCAATGAGATTGAATGAAGAGACCTAGCCTACATGAACCTATGTGCAGCCAATGAGATGGTATGGTTTAGTTAGGCCTAGCCAATGAGAAGATATAGCAAGGTTCTTCCAAGATGAACACATTTCTTACAATCCACATGATTAGAATTTTATATTATAAACACATTTTGAGATGGTAATGAACTCTTCTGTATTTGTTTACAACGCTAAGTGCTCGGAAGGTCGATAGACTCACCTGTTGAAGCCGTCAAACCCCCAGGTGAGACCAGGTGGGGTGTGGGTGGGGGTCGATAGACTCACCTGTTGAAGCCGTCTAACCCCCAGGTGAGACCAGGTGGGGTATGGGTGTGGGGGTCGATAGACTCACCTGTGAGAGGGAGGGATGGGGAAGCCGTCCAACACCCAGGTAATGTGGGGTGTGGGGGTGCCCGTGGCTATACACTTGAGGGAGACAGCTGGTCCTGGCTGCAGCGTCTGCTCGATGAAGCGGTAGACTAGATTGGGCGCCGCGGCTTGTCAAGGAGAGAAAATGAAATGGCATATTAATGTCAGTTCTTCTTTGTTCAGCTTCTCTCTATGGAGAGAGAGAGAGAGAGAGAGAGAGAGAGAGAGAGAGAGAGAGAGAGAGAGAGAGAGAGAGAGAGAGAGAGAGAGAGAGAGAGAGAGAGAGAGAGCATCCTGTGCTATGTCTTACACAGACAGTGTAGCCAACCACTACAACCTGAACAGTTGTACCCGTCCAGAATTTCAATGAAAATCGTCAAGGAACAACGCTAGAGGAACTGCGAGGGGGCAAGAAACACAATATGGATTTAATCCTTGGAACAGAGAAGGCTCAGAAGAGACGGAAAAGAGTAATCCCCTGCTATCACACAAGGGATTTTATAGGATTGATATTGAGAGTGCTGCGGGGAGGGGGGTTCACGAGTGCATCTTGGCCCTGGCACTGAAGAAGTTTGGCAGCTGCCTGAGGTGAGAAAAGGTCGAACGGATACGTGGGGAAATAAATAATCAAATAAAACCTCCGGTACATATATAAGGACCCGCTGCGTCGCAGAATATTGAAGAGTTCCTAGACGGCATTCACGACGCTAGTACGAGAGCAGTAATACAGGTCAGTAGATTCCCCTGTGAGGAGAGAGGGATAGGGAGAGGCTTATCCAGAGCGACACGAGCAGCGTCAAAGGTATCAGATGCGCCGAGGACGATGGACTTAAAAAGGAACATCGGGAAAAGCAAAATGTCCCGTCATCCTGAAAATCGAGACTGTCTATAACGACGAGGTCCGCAACGACTGTTGCGGACCTCGACTGTTAGCGAAACAACTGTTAGCGTAACAACTCACAGGTCTGACAGTTAAGGTGAGCGACTTTATTCCTTCAAGTGGCCAAGAGTTTATCGTGTGGGTGTGTACTCACCTAGTTGTACTCACCTAGTTGTGCTTGCGGGGGTTGAGCTCTGGCTCTTTGGTCCCGCCTCTCAACTGTCAATCACAGGTGTACAGGTTCCTGAGCCTATTGGGCTCAAATTGGGCTTGTGTGTGTGTGTGTGTGTGTGTGGTGTGGTGTGTGTGTGTGTGGTGTGTTGTGTGTGTGTGTGTGTGGTGTGTGTGTGTGTGTGTGTGTGTGTGTGGCCAAGACAGGGTCTAGCCACAAACAGCTTCCACCTGCTGTTATGCTGTCAGGAGCAAGGCCACGACGGGCAGATCTCTTATCAGATAACAGCAACATCTTAATTATGCCTCATAGTTAACCATCTGTCTCTCATCTCCAGAAGATTTCGACGTCGTTTACAGTGGCACTTGAACGACGGGGAAAACAGTGAAAGGAAAACAAAAAATGAGTTTCAAGACAGACTTGAACGAGCTTCTCCAGGGCGACAAGTCACACACACAAGACAACAATCTTTACAATCCTTGCGGTAAAAG